ACACACACACACACACACACACACACACGCACACACACATATATATATAAATGAGTCGGTGAAACTCCCAAAACAGTTTGTCACAGCCCCTTATTTGTTGTCCTCTTCTCCCTCTCTGCCTACGGTTTATATATCGTCAAACAGAGCTGCCCGGTAAACTGTAGGCAGAGAGGGAGAAGAGGACAACAAACAAGGGGAACGGCCCAGTAAACCGTAGGCAGAGAGGGAGAAGAGGGCAACGAACGAGGGGCTGACCAACAGTGGGTATGTTTTATTTACTAGCTTTGAGTCCTACTGGGCTTGACCCGTGAACCTGTCGCTAGTAGTCTCTATGCCGTTCAGGCTTGCTGTTTTGTCCTTTTCTGGTCTTCTGGAAACTGGTAGGCCCGTAGGTCTCCCTTGTGTGTGTCCTAGTCTTGGGTCCCCTTGGTTTAGGTTCCCATCTAGATGCAGATAGGCAGATCTTGACTGTTTGGCCGTAGATGTGTGCTGTTTGGACGTACAGGAGTGCAATGTTGACTGTCATTATTCGTTAAAAAAAAAATTAAAAATCAAAAAACTTTTTTTTTTTTTTTTTTTTTCTGAGTAAGCATCCAGTGACATGAAAACAAAAACTTGCACTGCCACCACCACTCAGAGCAGGACGCTTCTTCCGAGTCCTTATCATGACTGTATCAGACCGTTGAAAAGGCTCAGATGCATAGAGGATAGCACGTACAGGAAAAAGAGAACAGACAACACGCGGAGGGTTTTTTTCTTTTTTGCTTGATGTGAACACGACCCCGAAAAAAAACTGCCTATTTCATTTCTTAATTTTCACGGGGCGGGGGAACTTGTATTCAGCCCCAGCCCGACTTTTTTTTTTTTTAAGGGGACCTCGATTTTCGCCCTTGCTGCGCACCAGCTGCGCAGTGTACCGCATGTGCACGACTGGCGCACACATGATGCACCGCATTTATGGTCGAAACTGGTTGGCAACAGCTCGAAAATCCCTATCACTACATATATAAAATACTAACTCACATGTGGGTGCTACCTCCGGACCATCAAGTAACCATAGTGGCCGTCGGTATTGCCGTACTGGATGGTTGAGATCGCATGTTCATGGTCTGGAAGAGCCATGAAGATGTTATCTTGCTGTCGAGTTGGGGGGTTTTGCGGCACTTTTTCTCTGTTCAGCTCTGGGCCGTGTGTTATTCTTTTTCATTTTGCGCCATGGGCCACGCATGTCTTCATTGGGGGGGGGGGGCATAATGGCCTTTATTGGGGTGGCTTTCCTTGGGGCAGCCGACAATGACCTTCCTGAGAAACACTGTGACTGCCCCCCAGAAAATACTACTGCACCTTAAAACTGGCAGCTGTTGGGGGTCGCTCCACTGCTCACCGACTGTGCAAAGTGAGAGTGAATCTTCCTCTAGCACATGGAAAGATACACCGCCGTTACTTTTGTCTTTTGCACATCGTCTTTATGTTTTCCCTTACTTATTTTAGCGGGTCTCGCCCGATGCTCCCACGTGAGACTGCGCCTGTCAGTGTTGGGAAAAGCCGTGGGCTTGGAGCAGCACCAGCGAAAACGAAAAAGCCAGGGCGGAGGAAGCATAGGTGCGTCGCTCGTCGTTTCAACAGGGTTTTTCAACCTTTTGTGTTTGTTTGTTTTTTTAATTTTTCGGGTGGCCGCGCGTCCTGTTCTTTGGCAAGTTTGTTGTTTTTTGGAAAAAGCTGGGGCGGAGGAAGCATAGGCCAGTCGCTCATCGTTTCAACAGGCATTTTCAACCTTTTGTGTTTGTTAACTTTGTTTGCTTTTTTATTTTTTCAGGTGGCCGCGCGTCCTGTTGTTTGGCAAGTTCGTTGTTTTTTGGGGGACCGCTGGAGCATTTCCTCTGGGGGTCGCGTCAAGCGTCGACGTTCAGATACCTCGATACTCACGGCATGCAGGAAATAGAAAAATCTATGGGCGTGTATCTCCCCATGTTCGAGCGAAAAATTCATACGATTTTGAATGGGAGCCGGAGCAGGAGGGGCGGGACGACCAGCGGGACAAGGGGAAGTCCGAGGAAGGGGAGGACGATGAACAAGAGGAGAACAAGATGGCGAGAGAGAGGGGGAGAGAGAGAGAGAGAGAGAGAGAGAGAGAGAG